TTTGGGACTATGTAGAGCATGACTCAGAAACGCCCACTGCAGACGTGGACTCTCACTGACTGGTCAAGGGAGGTGTTGCTCCCTCCCATTTCCAGAAGTGAGTGCTTACCACCTGGCAGAAGGCCTCCTGGGGCAGTTGGACCAGAGGAGTGAGCAATAGTCCCATAGTGAGGCCTGCAAGTCATTAACAATGTAAATCAACATGGGTCCCTGGACCAAAGTAAGTCCATCTTAACCACTAGCCCTTGATCACCCACCCCTCCATGCTCTCCTATTTATCTTTTCAGGTCTATCCTGGATATAGGCAAACATATTTCTCCTTTCTGTAAACCACTGGTGCATACTGCACAAAATCCACTAGATGGTGATGATATTGATGATGATGATGATGATGATTTTTGGTACTAGGAATTGAACCCAGAGGTGCTTAACCACTGAGCCACATCCCCAGCCCTTTTAAATATTTTGTTTGTAGACAGGGTCTCGCTGAGTTGCTTAGGGCTTTGCTAAGTTGCTGAGGCTGGCTTTGAACTCGAGATCCCCCCTGCCTCAGCCTCCCGAGCTGCTGGGATGACAGGTGTGTGCCACAGCGCTTGGCTGGAAAAATTATAGAAGAATTATTCAGGAGTTGGCAAATTTTTCTTCAAAGTGCCAGATCAGACACTTTTAAGCTTCTGAGCTTTCTGGCCACTTCTTGACTTTCTTGCATCCTGGGTTGAAGATGCCAGAGACATTGTATTAAAAAAAAARAGAGAGAGAGAGAGAGAGAGAGAGAGCTCAGCTGTGTTCTAACAAGACTGATTTTACAGAAAGAGGTGTGAGTCCCATCTGCCAACACCGAAGTTAGCCTGTTCATTTGAGAAGACATTTCAGGTCTTGGATTGTGGTTTTTAATACGTCTGTGCATGCATCTTGATGTAGTTGTGAATGTGGATGTTTAGGACCCCATCTTTGGGAGAAGGGCCTAGGACTCCTCTTGTGGCTGCACTGTCATTTATTTACACAGTCCCTGCCCTGATGATAGCAATATTTCCAGTATTCCTCAAAAAGTCAGGTGGAGGGAGGTATACCTGGAGTAAAGATCACCCTTTCAAGTGTACAGTGTGTGAACTTTGGCAAACATGCACAAGGCTGTAATTCTAATCAAGATACAGAGCAGCTCCATCACCTCAGAGAGTGTCCTAGTGCATCATGGGAAGCCATCCCCCTGTGTCCTCCTGAGCACCTGGTACCCAGGGATCTGCTTTCTGTCCCTGTGTTTGCCTTTTCAGGCATATCACACAGGATGCAGCCTTTGGAACCTGGTTTCTTTCACTGAGCACAGTAGGTGTGAGACTCAGCCATGCTGAGGCTCAGGAACATGGTTGGTTCCTTTTTATTACCAAGGGATACTCTGTAGTGCAGACTCACCACAGTTTGTTTATTCACTCACCAGTCATAAGGCATTGGGTCATTTTCAGTTTGGGGCAATTACAAATGAATCTGCTCTTATTAGTTCTTGGCTTCTGTGTGGACTTCAGTTTCTGCATCTTGGGTAAACTCCTGAGTTGGGATTACAAGGGCTACATAAATGCACGTATGACTTAATAAGCAATCACCAAGCAATTTCCCAAAGTGACTCTGCAACTTGGTTTTCCCTCCAGCCATATGGCATGCTTGACAGCATTTAGTATTGCCAGTTCTTGTGTTAGCCTTACCAAGAGTTGTACGTAGTTTTGTTCTACAATAAACAGTGCTGATCACTGTTTATGTACATATGTCCTTAGACATGTATCCTTTACTATTAGGTGTGAGTATTCTGCAAGGTACATTCTTAGAATCAGAACTGATGGGTGAAAGGGTATGAAAGGCTGATTTGATATTGCCAAACAGCCTCTGGATGGTGGTGCCAATTTGCCCACCCACCCATTAGCTACGGCAGTGCCTATCTTAACCACATTCTTGCCAGCAGCGTTTTACTCAATTCAAGTTTTGATTTAATTATTTTAAAGAGATGGGGGGGGTCTCTCTTTGTTGCCCAGGCTGGCCCTGAATACCTATGCTCAATCGATCCTTCTCCTCCTTTCTCAGCCTCCCAAGTAGCTGGGACTATAGGTGCCTGCCCCCACCTCTAGCAAGTGCGTATTTTTGAAGAAAATTATACTCAAGACAAATGCAGAGTAAGTGTGAACTTTGGAGGGGTTTAGGGAGTACTTAGTAAAGCTTCTGGAGCAGGACCTGCTGATTAATGATCATTGGCACTACTAATCAGTCACAGTATTCTTTGCCTCTGAGTTTGTCCTCAATATATTCAGTAGGGCTTCTTTCTGAAGAGCTCAAACTTCACCAAAGGAATTTAGTTAATCCTCAGAAATCTCCTGAGATGGTGACCAGGCATGTAGGCAGTGTGGTGCTACAGAGTAGGGAGACCTGACGGGAAGGAACTTTCTGACGTTCCAGAACAGATCTGTATCCCACAGGGTCCAAAATGAATCTGTCGGGGCTGGGGCTGGGGCTCAGTGGTAGCATGCTCACCTGGCATGCGTGAGGCCCTGGGTTCGATCCTCAGCACCACATAAAAATAAATAAAGATCCATTGATAATTTAATAATACTTTAAAAAAAATCAATCTATCTAGGGATAAGAATTGATTCCTCTAGATTAGGATGAGCCTGCTATGGTTAGATGGTCTTTCTAACTTTTTTTTTTTTTTAAACTGCTACCCTCTTTGAGAAATACCCCAGGAGTTGGGGCCAATGATGCACGCCTATAATCCTGGTGACTTGGGAGGCTGAGGCAGAAGGATCCCAAGTTCAAGGCCAAACTCAGAATCTGTCTTTGAATAAAAAATAAAATGGGGGGGGCTGTGGCTGTGGCTCAGTGGTAACGCAAGTGCCTGGTATGTGTGAGGCACTGGGTTCGATTCTTAGCACCATTTTTTTAGTTGATGATAGATCTCTATTTTATTAAAAAAATAAAGATCTATCATCAACTAAAAAAATAGATAAATAAATAAAATGGGGTGTCGATGTAACTCTGGTAGAGTGCCCCTGGATTCAATACCTGTACTACTACTACTACAACTAATAAATAAGTAAAAATTTTAAAAAAGAAAGACAACCTCAGGATCCAAAATATATGTATAAAATATGTATTTTTTGAAACAAAAACTTCAAAGAATAATCTTCAATGTCGTGTACTTGTTACCTTGTTTCTTTGACAATGTGCTGAGCACATTGGGATCCAGAATATCTATTACTGGGCTGTCCGGCATTTTATTTATTTTTTTTTATTGCTTCTTTTTAGTTATACATGACAGTAGAATTCGTTTTAATATAATTATACAAACATGAAAATATCTTATTCTTATTAGGACCCCATTCTTCTGGTCGTACACAGTGATGGGATTCACCTGGTGTATTCATATGTACATAGGAAAATTATGTCAGGTTTGTTCCACTGTCTTTCCTTTTCCGTTCTTCCCTCCCTTCCCATCATGGCTCTGCCACCTTTGTTTTTTTTTCTTTTTTTTTGGTGGTGCTGGGGATTGAACCCATAGCCTTGTGCATTTGAGGCAAGCACTCTACCAACTGAGCTAAACCCCAGGCCTCCCATCATTCCCCTTTGTCTAATCAACTGAGTATCTATTCTTTCCCTCTCCCCTCTTATTGTGGGTTTGCTTCCACAAATTAGCAAAAATATTTCACCTTGGTTTTGGGGATTGTCTTATTTTACTTAGCGTGATAGTCTCCAGATCTATCCATTTACTGGCAAATGTCTTAAAGTCATTCTTCTTTATGGCTGAGTAATGCTGAATTGTGTACCGTAGACCACATTTGCTTATCTACTCATCTCTTCAAGGGCACTTAGGTTGGTTCCATAGCTCATCAATTGTAATTGAGGTGTCATAAACATTGACATGGCTGTGTCACTGTAGTATGTTGATTTTAAATCCTTTGGATATACACCAAGGAGTGGGATAGCTGGGTCAAAGTCTTGTTCCATTCCCAGTTTTTTGAGGAACTCCATACTACTTTCCAGAGTGGTTGCACCAATTTGCAGTCCCATCAACTGTGTATGTGCCCCGTACCCTTTCCCGACATCCTCACCAACATTTATTATTACTTATATTCTTGATATTTCCGGCCAGCATTTTAAAGAGCACAGTTCTAGAACCCACGTCAATCCCTGTCATTTGTATAACCAAGGCTTTCCATCTCCCTGGTGATGCAATTGGAATCGTGCAACCTCACATTCAGTTTGGGACACTTCATTCCCATGTTCCTTTTCTGGGGATCTGAGAGCCTATTCCTTCATCAGTTATTTCTGCAAACAGCTCTTGGATTCCCTGTGTGCACTGCGCAGTATTCAGTGCTAGTGGAAGACAGTCGGCTTTGAAGAGAAAGAGGCCTGGATTCAGATGTCACCGTCACCTTCTGCTGGGGACCTTACAGGGAAATCACTGAGCTAAGGTATGGAAAGGACTTGGCCGAACGTCAGACTCCTAGCCGGTGCTTAACCCAGCGGTTCTCAACGTGGGGTTTCCCAGACCAGCAGCATCGGCGTCACCTGGGAACTTGATAGAAAGGCAAAGCCCCAGGCCGCGCCCCAGTTTCACTGAGAAGCTCCGAGGCTGGGACCCGGACGTCTCTCTTAACCAGTCTTCCAAATGGTATCGAGGCCTGCTCACTTTGAGAGCCACCGGCTGAACGGTGGTAACATTAGCAGTTAGTACTCAAAGCTGCAGAGTTGAGCAGCGGGCGGAGGGCGAGCGGCTCCGCAGGCTGCAGTCAAGCACCCAGGCGCCAGCAGCACCCACAGGTCAACGCTTGAACTGTCTCTGTCCCGGCTCCTCCCACCTCCCTCCTCCCGGAGCAGGACCCGCCTAGTGCGCTCGCTGATTGGTGGAGTCTCTCGTGGACTTTCGCCACTCCTCCAATCCCGGAGAACATAAACAGAGAAGGGCGGGACTGGGCTGTGCGCTTATTGGCTGTAGACCACGCCGGGGCGGGAGGGCGGAACGGCGCATGCGCGCTTTCGCGGCGCGCCCCCGGCGGCCGTTGAAAATGGCGACTGTCGCCGAACTGAAGGCTGGTGAGTACCTACACGGCTGCTTGCCGGGTGGTAAGCATCGCGACTTCCACCGGTGAGGAGCACGGGCCGGAAGGAACACAGGCTGGGCCTTTGCGGGGCTCGTTCTGCGGTATCAGGGAGCGCCCGGCGGGGGTGGCGRCCGCCGCGCGCGGGCTCTGGGAGGGACGCGGAGGTCCAGCGGCGTCGAGCTGGAGCCAGAACCCAGAACCCGCGGGCCCCTGCKCGGGCTCCCGGGCTGCACCCTGGGCCTCTGGCGCGTCTTTCTGGACCCCGCCGGGGCTGRGGAGAGGGAGGCCCGGGCGGGCTTGGCACCCGAGCTGGCCCGGGATGCAGGGTCGTGACCACTGGGCAGTCGTCATTGCTGTACGCACAGCCGTCGTTGCTAGGAGCTCCGTCCTGACCGGTTGGCTCGGTTTGCTCAGGAGGTCCCGCTTGTCCATCAGGAGAAACCGGGGTCAGAGTTTCCTGGTGTGGCCACTCGGGGAAAGTTCCCCGAAGTACTTCTGTAGTAGTTCTGTGCATGTCATTAAGAACATTTAATGCCATTAACTTCGAAGCAGACGTTCCGACAAGTGTTAGTGATTGTAAAACTGGTCAGCGCCTGAGCTGGGTATTAAGCACTCCCCTCGGCCGTGCTTCCTCTGATGGATGCCCTGTACCCATGGCCTGGACTGGGAAGAGACAGTGTGGGAACCCAGATGAGGCGCACCACGATGCCAGGTCTTCATCACCGGGCAATAAACCTGCTTAATGAGTCGAACCAGTTCTGCTTTTCAGAAAACTCAGGGCCTGATAACCAGTCTTTGGTAGAGAGGTGGAGAGTTGGAAGCTGCATGACTTTGGGAATATGATTCCGACACCCGCCATGTGACTGTATATTGGGGCACTGTGCTGGTGAACAGTCATAAAAGGGGCACTGCATCTGTCACACCAGAACAAACTGCACCTGGATCTGTGGGCTCCCTCCTTGGGGAAATACACATCACACCTAATGTCACCTACAGTTTCAGAGAATTTAGGTATTCTGCTGCAGTCTGGCTGGGCACAAATAACCCAGCCCCCACAAAGCCTTGTAGATTCAAATAGCAACTCTTTATTCCCCAGCTCTCACCGGCACTGCACACACCACATGGGAACCCACTCCCTCCCCTCCACCAGGCTCAGTCTCTCCTGAACCCCACAAGAACTCACAGGAACTCCAAAGTAGCAGGCGCCCAAGGCAGCAAGAGCCTCCCTATTGCCCAACAGTAAAGGTCAAATATACAATACAATCAATCCAGCATCACAGCAATTATATACAGCTTAACTCAAATCATCATCTCAATGGTTCCCTGGTGTCACCTTTCAGCCATTCCCTCTGGCAAATGCCAGGCATCTTTCTGACTGGCTATGGCTCTTGACAGTATTCCGTGGGGGAGATCAGCCAGGTCAACAACCTCTTTCTGATGGAGTTTTTATGGTGCAGTGTTCTAGGCATAACAATAAAGAGAAGGGAAAATGATATGGAACCCAGAAGGCGATTTACTTTTTGCAGACTAGGAGTGTCCTACACTGACTTGAAGAGGGCCCTGTTTTCTCTGCTTTCCCCAATTCTGAATGTGCTTTGTGTCCAAAAGAAAGTCCATGAAAGCTTGTTTGCCAAACAAATTTTATGGACATTTTATCTTTTGGGGGAGGAGGGGTGTCTTGTTCTTTTTCTGTGGTTCTTTGCTTTTTTTGCATACCTCGTGCCTTGCGTGTATAGAACTCAGGCCACCTCGGGCACAAGCACCTTCATTGTTGCTTTGTTTTGTTTTTGGGGGGTACCAGGGACTGAACTCAGGGATACTTGCCCACTGAGCCACATCCCCAGCCCTAGGTTGCTTTTTAGTTAGAGACAGAGTCTCACCGAGTTGCTTGGTGCCTTGCTTTTGCTTAGGCTGGCTTTGAATTTACGATCCTACAGGTGCGTGGGCCACCACTGCAGGTCCTTTTATCTTTTTTAAGCACTCATAACTGTCATTAGAAAAAAACAAAAAAAACCAAAACCGTTTCATTCAGACTGGGCCATTCCCGAAGGGTATCAAAGGGTATCAAAGGCTTTTATACAAAATATATGACACATTCCTTTCTTTATGGCTTCTAGTTTTCTTTAATCACCTTTCTGCCCTGGAGGCTGTTGGTGAAGCCCAAAATCCATTTGCAGTGACAAATGCTCTTGAACATAGGAGAGATTGGGGGAGGTAGGCTAAGTCCTGGTAAGCTAACTCTACTTCTAATCCCCCTATATTTTCCCATCTGTAGTCTGAGAGTATGTCTCAGACTACAGTCCCTGACCACAAAGATGCTATAGGGATAAACTTGAATTCCTTCAACTATATTCAGAATAAATCATTACAACTTGGAAACTTTGTTTTTGTTTTTGTTTTACAAGCATGGTTTGTCAGTGTCATTGACCACTTGGTTACTTTGTTTAGCTCAAGGGCTGCATTTGCACTATTTACCTTTTAAACATTTTTCTTGAGAACATCCCCAACAGTGACAAAATTTATAACTGAAGCATTAATATTTTATATTTAACAGTTTTAAAGGACACCTTGGAAAAAAGGGGGGTACTAGGGCATTTAAAAGCAAGGATCCGAGCTGAAGTTTTCAGTGCCCTAGATGATGATCGTGAACCCCGACCAACATTGTCTCATGAAAACCTTCTAATTAACGAATTAATTCGGGAGTACTTGGAATTCAACAAATATAAGTATACGGCATCGGTCCTCACAGCAGGTAAGTGGTCATGGTTTATCACTTGAGGCAGAATCTGTGCCTCCCGTTCCCCAATTTATCCTAGAAGTCCAATTTCATTACCAAGCAGTGTCATCTGGGTGACTGGATCATAAAAATCATATGTGCTCTTTTCACAGCTCAAACAAAAATTTTTTTAAATATTTATTTTTTAGCTTTTAGGTGGACACAATATCTTTATTTTATTTTTATGTGTTGCTGAGGATCAAACCCAGGGCCTCATGCATGCCAGGTGAGCTTGCTACTACTTTAGCCACATCCTCAGCCCATCAAACAAATTTTTATAAAGTTTAACATACTACAGGAGAAAATACTAGCTAGAACTCTCCATTACAGATCCTTTACTATAAAGCATACATTTCTGCATCCCTCAGTTTGTTATAGATGGCTATATGATGCCAGTGACATCAGCTAGTTATCTTGGATTTTGGTTTCCCTAGAATGAGATCCAGTGAGGTAACCAAATTTCATATTAAATGTTTTGGCTTTTAAAAAAAGTGTAAAATTTACATACAAAAAAAATGACCTTTTTTAGTGTACAGTTGGATTTTGTCCAACACGTTCAATCGTGTAACTACCACCACAGTCACAGTGGAGACATAAAACGTTTCCATCACCTCAGGAGATTTCCTGGCACCCATCTGTGGCCAGCCTTGTCACTCAGCYCCGCCCTGACACTCACTAAGCTGTCATTTTTCTGTTCTGGGGTCTTCTTTTCCGGAGTGTCCTGCATGGAGCATGATGGTAAAGCCTTTTGACTCTGCCTCCTGTTGCTTGCATACTGCACCCGAGGTTCAGCCATGCTGGCTGTCCCTGCATTATCCCCAGGGAAACAGTGTGGCCATGCTGCATTATCCCCAGGGAAACAGTGTGGCCCTGCCAGTTCACCTGCTTCAGTGATTAGGCAGTTAGGTGGTCTCTAGTTTGGGGCAGTTATGAATCAAGCCGCTGTAAACATTTACTTACGAGGTTTTATGTGAACATGAATATTCATTCTCTTGGGTAAATAGCTAGGAGTAGAGTTGCTGGGTTGTGTGGTAAATGTTCACAGACCTATATAGGAAAAGGGGCCAGTTGTTTTCCAAAGTGACTACGCCATTTTACTTTCCCACCAGGGAAGTACGAGAGTTCCAGTTGCCTGTGTCCCTGCCGGCACTTGATATCAAGTCCAGTTTTACTTTTAGAATTACTGCTGCCAAATGGATATATTTTTTCAAAATTGAGTTATTAGTAGTTATGTGTTTATATTTTGGTGGTGCTGGGGATTGAACCCATAGCCTTGTGCATGGGAGGCAAAGCACTCTACCAACTGAGCTATATCCCCAGCCCTTCCATCATTCCCCTTTATCTAATCAACTGAACATCTATTATTTCCCTCTCCCCCTTATTGTGGGTTCGCTTCCACATATTAGCAAAAACATTTCACCTTTGGTTTGGGTAATTGTCTTATTTTACTTAGTGTGATAGTCTCCAGATCTGTCCATTTACTGGCAAATGTCTTAAAGTCATACTTCTTTCTGGCTGAGTAATGCTGCATTGGCTTCTCAGGAAACTGATTGAAGTCTAGTATTATAATTTAGAGGCAGAAAGAGTATTTTCAATCCAGAATTGGGGATTTAAAAACTTAGGTTAAACTGCATTAAGTTTTGCATTAACAGAATGAATTTTTCAAAGTCATAAAGTCGGTTGCAGGTAGATCTACCCTATTCTGTCATTAATCTTCCCAAATCTGAAAAACGTATGTGTATCTGGTAAGTATGGTTGTTATCAAAATGACATTTGTTATTAGATTAACAGACTCGGTGTTTTAATGAATTTTTCCCCTCCAGAATCTGGTCAACCTGCAGTTCCACTGGACAGACAGTTTCTCGTCCGTGAACTAAATGCCTTTGAAGAGTCAAAGGACAACAAAATGTAAGAAGCTTCTTTAAGGTGGGCGTTCAGCTCCTGGCGCAAGGGGCTGTGGTTTCTCTTTAATTCAGCAGGTCTTGACCCAGATCTGGTGTGCAGCAGTGAGAAGGTCCGCTTTGTTCGTGAAAATCCCTATGGTGTCTGTCAGAGGACTGAGCGTCTCTATTTTTTTTTTTGGTGGTGGTGCTGGGCCTGGACCGAGGGCCTGGTGCATGCTGGACATGGGCTGCACTGACCCCCGCCCCAGCCCTCTTCTCAGGGCCACTTTCACTTGCTGCTCTCCCTCTCGCCCGCTCTGCATCTCAAGTTCTGTCCTAGGGTTGACGCCACCCTGGTAGGAGTGGGCGGCACTTTCTGGTGGTGGTTCTTTCCAGAGGGTCCCTGGGTGGGCGGAAGAGGGCTGAGGCTGGCAGGCCAGGCCCTCGCACTCCAGGCAGCCTGCCCCAGCACCTTTCCTTCTCTTTCTAAAAATTCATTGAGCTTTTGATTCTCCCTCCTGGTGTGATGGGGTTGATTACCGCGAAGCCTTTGACTTACATGCCAGTTGAATTCCGTGCAGTCGGTGCCCCTGATAATGTGCTGCCTGGCCCTCTACTCTGGGTTGAGGCTGGCGGGCCAAGAGTGGCGTCTGTGGATTTCTGATTTGAGAAGTTCAACTTCACTTGAGTTTCTGCAGCCTTTTGTAATATTGACTTGTCTTAAAATGCTTTTTGTCATTTGTTTCTAAGACTCTTTACCTCTTAGTTTCTGGGGCTTCCTCATGGTGCTCTCAGTTTCTTTGTTGACTCTTTTTTTTTTTTTTTTTAATTTTTTTAGAGAGAGAGAGAGAGAGAATTCTTTAATATTCATTTCTTAGTTCTTGGCGGACACAACATCTTT